GTAAATGAACCACTGCGCTTCAGAGAGTTGGTAGTAAACCACTTACATAGTCTGTTTCTTCATCAAGGTCTGTTCTGTCCTTGCGTGCATTGACTTGAGGGAAAACCTCAACCATAAGCTGAGTGTGGGGACCTGGTGCCTTGCCATTACAGTCCCGGTGATCCACTCCTAAACCGCTGCCGGCCACAGACCCTCCTGTAATGGAGCCCCCCGCTCCAGACCCACTCCTTTTGCCAGCGTCTGGGTGGATGGGAGGAAGGCCTGGCGGCTGTCCACCTGCCCGAAACAATTCAGGGAGTTCGAGGGAAAGAGCCCGCCGATCTCTCCTTGCAGCAAAATGCCTGGAGAGGAAAAATGGGGGCGGAGGTGGATGATGAGGGGGCAGAGGATGATGGGAGTGGGCTGGGTGGGAAAGAAGGGACTCCTGCTCTGGCGCATAGGTGTAGGAGTGGGGCGAGCGGGTGCTGTGCAAGCGGAGGCTGCCTCCCACTGGAGGAAATCCGCTGAACCCATAGCTCCTTCGACCTAGGCTGTTTGAGCTAGACCTGCAGAGCACAAGTGATTAAAGGTACAATTAAAAGGTCATACATATTCATGAACGGTTTGTAAAATATCAGTAGAACTGTATCAACAAAAGGCGATCAATACTGTTTTATGTGCTAAGCATTTAGACTCGAAGCTAATAGGAAAATAAAATAACATCAAATTTCTGATGTTTCCAAGGAGGTAATTACGGCTTAATGGTTCTGGAAGTTCATTAAGGCAACAGCTGGAATCAGTGGTTGCAACTGAATTTAACTGTGTACCTGCGACTCCATCCAGAATGCGGAGGGAACGGACGCCCCCAGTTGTGGTAGTTGGAACTGCGACTGTGGCGCTAAAACAGAAACGCAGCATTTCAGAGAAGTTTCTGATCCACTGAATGTCTCTCAGCGAGGTGTCAAAGACCCAAACACCCCAAAATTAGCAATGACAAATAAAAAAGTCCTAAAAAATTGTTCACTCCTAGAATTTAATATCTTTAATTCAATGGATGATTGTATCACCTCTAGAGTGATTTGACTTTTTCGGCACTGTTACGGCCCTAGCAGGGCCTCCTCCTGAAGGTGCCTGTGTGAGCGTGTCCCACCACCTCGTTTGCCTGAGGTGCCAACTTTCCCTTTTGTGCAGCTGACTCTCAACAGTAATCAAGGAGATTTAAGCCCAGGGAAAGGTGAGCTCTGGGCCAGAGTGCCATGTGAGTGGTTACAGCTGGTGAGCTGTGTTATTGTGGTTTGCAGCTAGTGAGCTGCTCTCTTTCTTTTTGGCTTACGTGTGACTTTATTGACCAACGCCTGAGTTTTGTTTGTTTTCTTAAATGGTGATAGCGGCTTGTCCGTCTCTTTTAGTTGAGCTACTTTAATAAAACTCTTTAATTTAACCCTTTTGCCTCCTTGACTCCTTTTTCTGACCCGGACACCTTTTGTTACTTCCCCCTCACCGCCTAGACCACTCAGGGGAACGTAACAGTAATAGTAACAGTACGTTACAGTATTCCAGCCAGAGACTAATGTCACTAAAACACTGGTTAAAAGGAAAATGGAACGGAAACAAGAGCGTGGCTGTTAGTGTATGTCAATTATCCACAAATTAAACAACAAATATAAAACAGCTGAACAAACGAAGTATAAATTGAGCTTTTTAAAAATAGGATTGCAGTGCACTGCAGGTTGTCATCTACTTTAATATACAAACCCCAGAGTGCCAGTTCCACTTAAAGGAACACCAACAGTTCTTTTTGTTTCCGCATGTCTAATCCTCTGAGCCTGATGGTTCTAATTATATGTTTTACCCTCGGAAATGTACATGTTGCCAATCAAAACCCGAGCCAGAGAATCTATGCATCGTCCTCTAAATAAACTGTAGCGAAGCATGAAAGCTAAATGTTAAGTAACACTTGAGTCCACACAGAGCTGCACTGCAGATCGCCGAAGGGAAGCGGCGAGTGACAGACAACAGCTGCTGCCTTCACTTGCAAGCATATCGTAGCAGTTACAACTTTCTGCGATGTAAATCTGATCTAAAGGTCACTGGCTATAGATAGTTGTCATCAAAGCAAACAAATAACCTCATGAACAATACATTTATATCACACACATTAGATTACAAACATCTACGCCACAGTTAAACAACATGCAAACACTCTACAGGAACGTTCGTGTTGAGGCTCATTCTTTTTTAGCAATATGCAACGTTAGAGTGATGAATTTCAATCACAGCCGACAAACACATCATCTCATAGTCTGAGTGTCATTTCATGGGGGAAGAAAATAGATAAAAAGTGGTTCCTCACAAAACTTCAACCAAAAACACAAAATTTATACACAGCTCTCTCGAACGCTTATTAGTTGAGTGATGTAACCGGTGCCTACTGATATCAATAAACCTGGAGTGCTCTGAGAGAAGAGGAGGAGACTTCACAGTGAAGTGGATCTCGCACACCCACCGTGTTTAACATCGTAACCTCTGCGGTTGCTAAACCACAGACTTTCATCTCACATGTTTTCACTGCCCTCTTTTTTTTATTATTACTGAATCATCCTTCCTGTTTGTCTCCATCACCATCTCTCTCTCTGTTCCGTCTTTTTTTCCTCCCCTCTACTTCTCCCTGTCGCCTTTTTTCCCTTCTTTCTCCCACAGTTTCACTGCGGATGAACAGAAGAAGGGAACAGTCAATTAATAGAAGTTACCATGGCAACTGTATGCCGAGCCAGCCCTTGTAGAACTGTTTCAGTTTTTCTTCAGTTCTGGTTCAGTGGACACAACAATAGGGGAATTCCTGCTGTGGATTTATGTACACTATATACAATACTAGGGGTGGGGGAAAAAATCGATACTGTGTAGTATCGTGATATTTTGTTTGCTAATAATGTATCGATACAGGGACAGCAGAAATTGATATTTTGTTACAAAAAAGGTTTTTGTGGATCCTTTTTCTGAGCAAGAATCCTGACATTCCTTCACTGCCAAATGTGTTTAACTTTTTTTTTGGCAGCAATAAACATGACAGTTTACTTATTTTAATTTAAGACATGTTTTATTTTAATTAAGTTTAAAACTTTTTTATTTAATGTAAAATTATATTTTGTTTTAATTTACTTTCAAATTCTTCAGTTGCTGAATGGGCTGCATAGTTTTCATAAATTGCATAGTTCAGAATAGCTATAACTGTTAATAGCTATAATTCAGTTAAGTTGGACTAGACTGTAATACAAACCGTTCAGTTTGTCAACAATAAAACTGAAATGAGAGAAAGACTGAGTGCGAGACTTTGATATTAGATAAAATGAATATTGATAAAGTTTACCTTTATGTACAGAATCTGAATATCGCAAAATATTTTTAAAAATTGTAACAATATCGTATCGTGGGATGTATGGTGATTCCCACCTCTATACAATACAATTTTATTTATACAGCACATTTAAAAAACCACAGTGCTTCACAGTTAGAGCAATAATAAATACAAATAGAAAACATAAAATACAAATAAAATATACTAACAGGCGGGTTACATAGCTAACCAATAATACACCAGGCATAGTAGGCACAACCCAAAAGGCTGAAGGTTAAAACATTATAATTATTAATAAAGCGAAAAAGATAACTTACAGTACACCAAAAATGCGGGCTCTCGGAGGCGGGGAAAGCAAGGCTAAACAAATACGTTTTTAATCAAGATTTAAAAGATTGAATTGAATCAGACGCCCGAATAGCTAGAGGGAGGTTATTCCAGAGGTAGGGTGCGACAGCGGCGAATGCGCGGTCACCTCTGGTCTTGAGCCGAGATCTAGGTCGCACCAGGAGCATTTGGCCTA